AGTTTAGTTTAGTGTCTCAGTGGTAAATTCTGCCTTTCTGTCTCTGCAGAGTTAGATATTCACACTCTTTTGGAGACTGTCACTTCCTGATTTACACAGAGAGATAAATGCAGTAATATAAACTTAAAATGTGTTGAAAATTATCTAAGTCACAAGACTCAAAAAAACTCCACCCTTTAAACTTTAAATTAACCACTAAGCTATATGACTTCGGTTTTATTTAGTTGTACAATCAGCTTAAATACAGAGCTGTGTTGCATGATTATACCGAAAGTATTAATTGCATTTATTTAGGTGTGAGAAGGTCTTAAATTGGTTCCTGTTATTTATTCCCGCTTACCAGCATTCGTCTTTCAGTACAGCTGGCAGTTGTTGCTTTTAGGTTATTAATTCATAACAACACATCATTATTATTAAGAAAAAAACCCAAACCCACACCTGTCTTTGTGTTCTTAGGAGCACAAACTAGCTATTTAGATTGACCTGTTTTCCATGAGATGTGTTTGACCATATAATGATGTAATACATAACTCATTAGCTTGCGTGTGAAGTGTAGCACTGCAATTGTTAATGCTTGCATTCTTCTCATTTAGTCATTGTTGAACTAAATCTTTATTGTGTAGACAGATGGACGGGGGGTGTGATGCACTTCCTAATGAAGAGCTGTAACTTTAATTGGAGATAACTAGGAGTCCAGATCAACTTAATACTCCTCTTGTTTTTCTGTCAATTCTTGTGTAATCAGAAACATGGATGCTGAAATTTCTTGCTCTCAGTATGCATCTCTTACCTATTTTCCTCCTTTTCCAGTGAAAATAGAAGCTGTATCTAATCTTTCATATTTGGCTGGGATCTCTTCCCATGCCTGTTTGGTAAAAGTCCACACATAAACAAATAGGAAAGAGGGTTCTAAGTCTCCTTTCCATCCCTTCCCTTATTCCTGGGCCATCTGGTCACCAAGCAAGTTCACTGCCTACTGAAAAACTGCTTCAGTTCTGATCAGAGCATCTACAGAATTTGTCTGTGGAAACCAAAATGAAGGAATTCACATGGGTATAAATACCCTAACGCTACTAAATGATGATGACTGTATGGCAAGAAATTCTTCCTGTAATGGGATATTCCATCAGTGTCCACTGTGGAATTGAGGGTGTTCCGTTTCTTCGTAACAGCTGGCTGTAACCAAGGACAGAACATACAAACCAGCCACACACGGGCGTGCCGGGATGGGACAGTTTCAAAGCATTGCCTTAAAACCTCCTTTCTTCCAATTTTGCCTTTTGGAAAACAGTTTCAGATTAGTTAAATGGCATTTCAGTGGTTATTTGCAAAGGGTGCTCCTGCTGAGGATGAAATACACCCTACTACAAAGTGGCAGGAAGAGCACTGGTTATTTTGCCCTACTTTAACCTTCTGACAGACAGTTGGATTGTTAAAGTAATATGTTCACCTTCTGTGGATTAGTTTTATGTTTCATGTTCTAAAACGTTGGAGCTTAGAATATCTTTTAATTACGGTAGTTATAAACCAAATCAAATCTTACACTGCTCAGCCAGTTTCATTGGACTGGCTGAGCAGAACTGTACTTGAAAGAGTGCGAAGTATTTTGGGACAAAACACAATAAACGTTGGCTTTCCCTGAAGTGTTAAGACAGATCCATAGGGAAGCCTTTTATGTGCACCCAGGACGGTGCACATGCGTTGTGCTGGAATGGCATTTCTAGAGTTTGTCTCTTGAATGTATCTATCCAAAACCTCAAGTTCCAAGAGCGCCGATGCGCAATGGTGACTTTTGTAACCATTTATTTCCTCCTCCTCTTTGTTGCCATAATTCTTAAATTAACCTTCGAGGGTTTTTTTTTTTTGACTGTTGTTTCTTCTCTAGTCTGACAGCCACTACTCCAGCCATTCCAGCAGCAATACTCTCTCCAGCAATGCCTCCAGTGCTCACAGCGATGAGAAATGGTATGACAGCGGAGAGCGCACCGAATCCGAGCTGAACAGCTACAACTACCTTCAAGGAACATCAGCTGATAGTGGCATAGATACCACTTCCTACGGACCTAGCCATGGCAGCACTGCCTCCCTGGGAGCAGCAACATCTCCCCGAACAGGGCTCGCAAAGGAGAAGGTGGCACCACTGTGGCACAGCTCCAGTGAAGTGGTCTCCATTGCAGACAGGACATTAGAAAAAGAGAGCCACATGGACCGAAAGACCGAGTCTTCACTGAGTCTGGATATTCACAGCAAGAGTCAACCAGCCTCCAATCCTCTAACGAGGGAGAACAGCGCTTACAGTCTTAGTGATGCTGTCTCGCATACAAGGTAATTTTTCACCTCTTACGAGATTGACCCCTCCGCAGTCATTTTCCCATTCTCACTCTCCAGCCTTTCAAAAGTGAGGAGTGGATGTTGGACAGAGGCTTCTACTTATGTTAACTAGTGTTTTGAAATATCTCACTGTGCAGAAAGCTTGACAATTAAAACTACCTTTAGTCTTTGCATTAACACTAAAGAATGTCTTTGAGAGCATATTCCATGCTGCTGCTGCTAAACTGACGTAAGACAGTGGATAAAGAACTGGCTGGA